ACAGATTATATGCTTTTTTGATTTTTTTTTTTTGCCTGTTTTTGTTTTGGTTAGAGTATGCTGTGTGCCAAATTTGGTGTCTTTTGGAGCATTTGGAATTCCTCCGCTGACATTTCTGAAAAAAATCTAATAATTTTTTGAATTGGCATGTTGCCATGTTGGCAAAATTTGCATGAAAAACGATGAAAGTGGATTTTCCCCCCTTGAAAGTTGAAAGTTTTCTCTTTTTTGGGCTGTCAGTTAGTATGGTGTCCAGTCAATGAATTGGTGGTGAGTTTAGCTAAAATGGCCCTTCTCCTGACAAATTTTCTGAAAATGTAGGCTTCCGTTAACTGTCTCTCAAAGTAAGACTTTCCGCATGAATCTGGTAGATGTTGCTGCTTCTCCTGCACTATTTTGTATATAACAGGGCCAAAAATGTTGCCGTTTGATGGAACAACTACATGGTTATTCGTACTTGGTTTTTAAGTGCTTGTTTCGAACCAGTGGAAATTGTATAAGCAATGTTCGATCAGCAGGAAACCACAAAAATGTACGCCCGCGCGCCCTACCCAGCGACCACCGAGCTGTTTGGGATCCTTTATTTGAGAGTGTGAAGGAGGACAAAGTTTACGATCATCCGCTTTGTGTGCATCGGACGGAAATTACGTCCAGATACGACTCAATGTCCGAAGTGAAATACTTTTATGCCTCTTGGCCGACTGTTTATTATCGGGTGGCAGACAAATTGACTGATATGATGGCAAATTGACTGCTATATCACTGATATGATGATCGCTCGGTGACCAGGTGGGTGCCATATCCAGTTTGATGGTATGTCCACTTTCCTGTCCTCGCACTGTTTGATATCAGAACTCGTTTGATGTTGCTAGCAGTTGAATATTTCATCAGGGCTTGGATTTCATATCCGGTCTACCCTAAACCCTAAACCAAGTTTCTGCCTAGTGAGTTACAACTGAATAAGACCCACATGTAAGGAGGAGGTCAACAGTTCAAATCTTTTTCCCTAAACCCCCTAAACCGTAACCTGTGTAATGTTATAAGCACGAGGATCGGTCTAGTGAGTTGTGACTGAATAAGACCCACATGTTAAGGAGGAGGTCAAGAGTTCAAATCCTTTTCAAGAGGATAAGAATTTAGGTTTACATGATTCGAAACAAAACAAAAGGTTGTGAGAAAAGTTGTCGTGTTACGTAGATTATGTGATGTCCACTTCCGCGTCAAGATGGGCATGTCATATGTGTGCGTCAAGTAGCGGAACACATGTTGTGCGTAGCATCAGTTTATTCTCTGATCATTCTGATGTGACTTGGGACTTCCTTTTGTCGTTTTGCGTGCAGATTGAGAAGATGATGTCAGCCACGAAGTCGTATGCTATTCCTGTGGTACCTGATTTTGAAGGTGAGCACTGGCTATGCATGGCTGGCACCTCGTGCAGCACTGCTGATGCTTCGTCTGTGTGTGTAATTTGTTGTGCAGGAGAGAGAGAGAGAGAGAGAGAGAGAGAGAGAGAGAGAGAGAGAGAGAGAGAGAGAGAGAGAGAGAGAGAGAGAGAGAGAGAGAGAGAGAGAGAACCCAAACCGTTGCTGTGATTTGGACCCAGATGTGTGGACCGATGTATGGAGTGGATACCTTTGCAATCTGGTCCATGAGTTTTGGAGACCCCATTTTTATGTCAATTGAGTGTGCTGAACACTTGTTTTCTATAGCTGTCACAATAACCGGAAAGCCGTACCGTCTTCACCCGAATAGAACGCCTGGTCATTATCGCTGGATGTGGACTAAAAGTTGGTCCAAATGCAACTATAATGACTGAGCCTGGATAACCCTAAAGAGTAACTGTGCCCTAAGGTCATACCCACACTCAGATACATCCAGGAAAACCTTGTGTCTCTGACTGTGGTTATGGCTAACGGTTAAACCACCAGTACTTTCCTAAAGTTGTGCCTGTGAACATGCAACGATTTTAGGAAATGTATGGGTCACTATAGGAGGGCCTAAATTCATCCGACTAGAAACGTTTCTACTCTATTTTTTTCCACGGCCGATAGCTGGGCCAAGTACTGGTTGAATTCTGAAACTCCGAGCATGCGCTTACGGTTATGACTCGTCATCGAGCAGTTGATTTCCACTGATAAAGAGAACTTGAGAAAGAAGAGGAACATGAAGGACGATGAAGGTTTCAAATCTGACCCGGTTGCCATCCTGTACCGTTTCAATGGACTTCCTTTGTCGAGTGTACTGGGCTGAACTAGCCTTTCCGTTTGTCGTCTGTGACCATCCTTTTTTCCGTTTTTTTTCTTTTTTCTAGCAGGGTTTGAATTGGTGAAGTAGCGCTCGTTTGTTACACGAAAATGGTTGTCTTGACATCTCAACTACCCTCTTTCCCCAAAAATATTGCATCCCTGTAATGAGTGCCAGTCAAATACAGTCGAGATGAGGGTGTGTTGTAGTCCAGCAAAGGCGGTTGCTTTATCCTGAATTCTTGCTTGTTAAACAAGCCTTGATGTCAGTGGTGCTTGATCGAGATTATATTTCGACAAGTAAATCTGGCCGTGATTATAGTTTAATACGTACGGTCAGGGCAATTTAAGCTCGAGTGTGCTATCTAACTTTGGTTTGCTTCCATGTACAGGGACGGATTGCAATCCTTTCACACTCGATGTGCTGGCAGTCTTCACGTGGAGAGTTCTGCAACGCAAGAACCATCCGGTATGTCGAGCTCGCAGCAGTTTGATCTTTGAAGGCTGTGCTTCTTCATGTTTGCTGCCCCTCACGAGATTATTTCTTATCCCTTTTTGGAAGAAAGAAAAATAGAATATTGGAGAGGCCACTCTCAAACTTGAGGACCAGCATGTGCCTACCGAAATGTACGTAGTCCCTTGAGAATGTCCAGGCGTAGTGGAATGCACCTGGCTAGTTTCATGTCTTGGGTCCCTCTGAGAGGGGCATATGTTCTCCTAGTTCATGGCATTGGGTCCCTCTGAGAGGGGCATATGTTCTCCTAGGTCATGGCTGGAGAGTTCTCATGCTCCTGTGCACGTATGCTCGTTTCGTTGAGTAGAACGGAAATGATGGAGGGAGTTGTACGGGGAAAGTCTCATAAGTTCGGACTGTTGCCCGTCTTGAGCTGAGCTAAGATTTCTGTTGATGCCAAGCTAAGCTTGCGTTTGCACTCCTACGTTCCCTGCCTCCGTGAACTTGATGAAATGCTTTGGTAAAATCTTTTGTGATTTGGAGAGAGTTTTATCCATGGCTCCTTTGGCCCTTTTTGTCGGTCGGTTCTCCACACATCAGGGGCCTGTTTGAAGGCGCACCAGTGCTGGGTCTCTCTCTCTCTCTCTCTCTCTCTCTCTCTCTCTCTCTCTCTCTTGTGCGTGCGTTTTTTCCGTTTTTCATTTTTGGAGGTGTCCTGGTGGACCACGGATCACATATGAAACTGTTCGGAACAGATACTACCCTTCATCATATTTTGGGGGGCCGAGGGGGCGTATTCAGTTAGATTGGGGTCTCTCACTCTCGTGTGCACAAGAGAGAGAG